TAGCGGCAATCGAGAACTCCCATTAGACATCCTCTCTGGTTAACACCCACAGAATGGGTCGACAACACGCGCCGTGTGCATAGCACCCACCCAAACCCCTACAACAAGCGATTGGGCGACCAAAGACTCCGACTTGGCAAATGCACAAAGCAGGTACAAGACACGTACGTGTACCTCCTACCCACGGTGCTCGTACCGTTTCTTGGACAGGGTCAAAGCTGGAGTGTGTTGTTGCTCTCGTCCCGATCCCGTCTTTGCCATCCCTGCTCTCTTCCCATGCGACGTTGTGGATGGCTCAGAACACATGCCCAATGGGAGCCGATGCCAGTCGCCTTAGCCTGTCTCGAGTGCCCCATGAGCCTCCGGGCTTAGGCCTTTAATCAGAACGCACCCAATGCGGACCACGAGATCTGGACGTCGAGTTACACTACTTACCAAGGCAATGAATGCACTCTGGCCGATGTGCTGGGGACCGACCAACTTTCCTAAGACAGCTCGAGCATGAAAATGTACAAAAGCCTCTCATCGTCCACAAAGAATACACTGTATGAGTCTCAGGGTAGTCGGCGAACTGCCAACTTATATTGCACGTACCATTCGGATGCCGTCAGTATTACTCTCACGACTCGTCAAGTGGAGTAGCCACTCGTCGTCCAGGGCCTGGACTTTTTTGTACTGTGGGCAAGATCTCGGACCTGAACACACGGAGAGGGCTAAAGGTCCAGCAACCGGTCTCGCCCGTTCTGATCCATGACCGTGGATGACCTTGCGTCCACGTCTTACCACGTGCGGTGCTCTCTCAGCGGGTTCCTTCACCCCAGCGGCATTGCTTTAATGAATCGCAATCCGCGCCAGGCCTGGAGATTGTCCGCTCTCACGCGAGTTGAACGCGCGACTCGTTGCTTCAACCACAGAAACACCCGGACGTCAACCAAGAGATGAGTTATCGGCACAAGTGGGCACACCCCTTGTGGGCCGTGGCTAACGATCTCCTTGCCTCCAAGCCATCTTCTATGTCTTGGTTGTCGCTCAATCCATCTCATAAACAACCGTGACACCACACGAATCCTTCACTTGTTTGTGGAACTCAACCTACACATACATGACTTTTCGCAGCTCGGCTCAGCGCGAGCTCTCATACCTCCTTCCCCCTAAGGATACAGGACCGTGTCCGTGATCCGCAGCGTAGTCGAATCCCACGACGCGAGTCGATGCCCTGCGAGAAGGAATGCGGGACCGTGGAACGGCTCCTGGATACACAACAGATTCGAGGCTGTTTAGGTCTGGCTCACTGCTCTCCTGTCGCAGTCTTTGCCGTCCGGTCCGTCTCATGCTATGTCGCATCACATCATCAAGCCCAGGCCGGCGGTGTCAGCAGCGTGCCAGCCACTGTTCCAGTACCCATCGACTAGGAAACCGGTCAACTAGTGGCTTTCGGCCAAATCATGTCTCTTTTTTGCGATGTTGGCCTGATTGAATTGTGCTTTACGGTGGCACCTCGACGGCTTCCAGACCAGCCCCGAGCCCTCATGGCCAAGGCTCTGCCGTCCAAACAATAGCTATTGTGCCCTCTCCTACCCCTTGAGCTACCCATAAATGGGGACCATAAATGGGTTCGTGTGTCACCATGGATACCGAGGCGCTCTACTCCGTAAACTAGGTCAAATGGCACCGAGACATGCGCCATCGTCGGCGCGGGAGACGGCTCAACGTACAGCCTGGGCGTGGTCCGTTGACTGATACACGTCGAAGGGGGTAGTGTATCATTATCTGAATGAGGTGTCATCTCTAGAAAGCTTCATGCCTTTGAGTGACGTATTTCAATTTCTGGCGCTGTCAGGGAGATGCCATGACCCGAGCTCGGCGTAAGCGTCTCGGTCACCCAAACATTCTGTCTTGCTTCGAAATCGCTTCCTTCTCTCAGCCCCCCCTTTTTCTGGCGCGTGGCTACCCAGTGCCTCCCGCTCTGTGCGGCGCGTGCGGCTAGGCTCATGAGGCTTTGCTGCACCTGAGAATGTGGGCTTCCCACACTGAAACTCTGTAAACATCCTGCACGGGTTAGATAGCTGAACGAGTCACCCACGGATCCGTCGCAACATTTCTTTTATTTTATCTTATTTTCACTCATTTTTTGCAAGGCGTTTCAACACGTGTTGGGGGTTGCTGATGAACCCGGTCCCCCGTCGCTCCGGCGCGGTGACTGGATTGTTTACCTGTCGATCGGTCGTTCCATCACCCGCCCCTTCACGTTGGCGACCAGTGTCTTCCGTTCCAAGCGGGCAAGTTTCGGTACATCTGCTATATTATGATCTTCAATGTTTGGCACTGTCTCTAGTATCGAGTGAATCGAATGTTGATTCGTGGAGCTGCGAGCAATCCAGACAAAACCCAGGTATGGTCTGAACTACACCAAAACAGGTCTAATATGTCGGTGCAGGCCTTCCCTCTGCGTGGCCAGGACTGATGCTTCGCCTCGTCTTCATCCCACATGTGATTGTTCTTTGAATACCCCGGAGCCGTCCCATGGCTTATATGGATTCAGATGACATGTTTGGGATGTATGAACACTCCTGGTCGTCTTACCGATACATTGCTCACGGTGAACGATGATATTCCGTCCCTTTTGGCCACCATACTAACTCACGTAATTGAAATGCTGGAATTGATGATGCAGCCATGTGTCCCCACCCTCGTTTATTTGCAACGTCTTCCCAGCTCGCCGTGTCATACATTTTTTCTTCTGCGGCTCTTCGTTCAGCGATCGGCTCTCAAATGCATACCTCCAAGCACGGGCTTGCCGGCGCTTTCTGCAAGCCGGTGATGATTTCGTTTTACACCCAGCCAGCTACGTGTCAGTTTTAGCAGGTGATTCCAAACTGGCGAGCCGGCACCTCTCTGCCGGTCTCACCAGGGAGGGAGGGAGGACACGGGAGGCTTTTAGCGGTAGACCCGCCAGTTCCCCATGGGTGACGTCCGATGCCATTCAGCCCAGGACACGCTTCCTGGGCCGTGAATGATTTAGAGCAAGGCTTGGCGGGTACTCCCCGGTTGTCGATACAGGTCTCGCTTGTTCCCTGTGTTTGGATCTGATACCCAAGTTTCGAGTAAACCTTTGACGCTTCATGCGGCTGCATAGCGTTCAACTATGTCAAAATACGGGAACATGGCTCGACCCTTAGTAGCAACCAGCCAACTCTGCTTAGGTTGATGTTGCACCGTCTCATATACCGAAGGAGATGGCCGTTGATATTCCGGTGGCCGCTTCAAACTCTGCGTCGCAAGTGTGGCAGTCTTGGTCTTCGGTTGTCTTCACACTTGACCGTCAGCCGATATGCTTCTCAGTCCTCACATGGCCAGGCAAGAAGAGTTTATTGACACAACCGGCAGACCATTCATTTGTCTGAATGGCATCCGGGTCTGCAGCCATAGCTTGAAACCCCATCTTTCCGGGGCAAATGCTCTTCATCGGCCAAGACTACTCGATCATGGCACCAATGGGCGATACAATGAATGAGCACCTAACGCGTGGCCTGTCTGCCCTAGCTGAAGCGTTCGGTATCGTTCATGCATCGTAAGACCTCCGAATACTCTCTCTGGCGAGGTTCTGCCGCCTTGGACAGGCCATGAGAAACGCGCTGCAATGCGAGGACATACCTTGCCGCGTTTCTTGGAACAGATGGCCGAGACTCACTTTATGACAATTCCAAATTCCGCAGGCTACCCCCCAGGGGCTAGCTAGTATGGACTTGCGGACTGACGAGGATAATGACGGGCTTCGTCGCAATCATCTGAGATTGTGGTGGGCATTCCGCGAGGATGCATACGCAGGTGGACAATGAACATGAGCAGTCACATCGTAGGTATTCTGACTGACAATCTAAAGATATTTCCAGGAAAGCCGCGGCGGGGGTGATTGCACATATTATCTTGGCATTTTGCCATATTCCTTTAGGGCCTTGCCATTTCTCACGACGGAGATTGGAGGGTTGACCGAGACGGTGGGGATGTGTATATTTTTATATTCTCTTGTCGACTCTGTCTTCCTATCACATTGTCGACACGGCTATCTTCGGTGGCTGGCGGGGTCGGCCAACAGAACGGCCGAAGTACCAGAATAGGTGGTGAATCTGTTGTCGACGAGGTCTGGTGGTTCGTTCAGGTAGCTACGTGGTCAACTTCCGCTCCAAGGTGAGGGCGTAGGGTCTTTGGTGACATGGTCAGTAGCGTCGTCGGCAGCGGTTGAAGCGTTGATATTCGGGAAGTAATGGATCCTCGTTTTCTCCGGGTTACCGACATACCTACAACTACGTAATTGACGCTACTCTGCACCTACGAACCTAGGTTCTCGAGTCGTACTTCAAGTTCCGCCAGGGGAAAAGTGGTGGAAGGGCTAGGCGACGGCGACGGAGATGGCCGTTTTGTGGAAGTCGGCAACCCGGTGGAGCGCAGCGGCGAGGCCCGCACCTGGCGCCGAGTTTCCAACGACGGGCACAACGCAAGATCAAACGGATAGGCCTAATTCTCCACAGTGAGGTACGTATATCCCAAAGCGAGGGAGTCCGGAAAAGCCACTCACACACTTACGTAGGATTGTGTGGACGTGCAGCATGCGTGCCGCTGGACCTTATTGACTGCAACACTGGAGCCACAGTCCCAACCGGTATTCTTTCGACGGGGTGCCAACTTCCTAATGGGCGAAATAAGGACACAAGCCCAGGGTTTCCCCGACATCATACAGAAGAATATTGCTGAAGCTTACAAAGCTGATCCCATGTCTGTAGTCTGTCAGGACGCTCGAGAAATGCCTCCTCAGGAAGTTAGGCAAAGTAGAGGGCTGGGGAGGCTAAATCAGAAATTGAGACGCTCCCCGCTGATTAATAGTATGTGCTCATGATGCTTTGGCGGGAAGCACGTGGAATAGGACTTGCACCCTCTGTCTCCTCAGGTACCGGCAGATCTTGTCGGTGTTGGGGTTATCCACAACCCTTTTTGGGGGCACAGGGTGAGGGTACTTGATAGGCAAGTACTTTTCCGTGCAATCGGTGCGGGATGACACTTTCAGCCTGAGTCGACAGAAGCTGCCTGTGTACCTCGGAGCAGAGAATGCGGTTTGCGTGCGATTCGACCACCTCAGCTATCGTATTGGTTTAACATCCCCTGTTGCGGACGGCCCTGGCAGTCAAGGTCAAGCGGGATGGTGTACATGCCTTTTCACCTTTGCTGTTCCTGCCGTCAATTGACCCTCGACTTCCTAGGTATCTAAAGCGCAAGGTTGCTGTCCCGCCATGACCCTTTTGCATCAGCTCCCCCTTCCGCGAATTTACCCCTCCATAACCCCACTTCCCTCTTACCAACTAAACTACCATTTGTCTTAAAGGCGTAGCTCCAGCTTCCTCTTTCTCTTTCTTATTCTCCCACTTCCACCTTGCAGCCCACGCAAACCCCAACCACCAAAAACTAAACGAGACAACCAACAGCAAAATGGGTGTTACCAAGACTACTCACTCCGAGGGCTCCGGCGCCATCCCCCAACCTGGCCAGACCGTCACCATTGAGTACACCGGCTACCTCAAGGACACCTCCAAGCCCGACCAGAAGGGCAGCAAGTATGCATCCTGCCTGGCCTACTACCCCTCCTGTTTCTTTCTTGCTCGATTTGCGGTGGCTTCTGCACGATGGAAAGGTTAACAGAATGCTAATGAGTCATGTGGATCGCAGGTTCGACTCTTCCGTCGGCCGTGGCGACTTCGTCACCCGCATCGGTGTCGGCCAGGTCATCAAGGGTATGTCTGGCCTTTGACTCCCTACAACCACATCAGATCCATACCACTTTGCGTTCCCCAGGTTTCATAGCTTTGGGCTGATTGATACTTTGCAGGCTGGGACGAGGGTGTCACCCAGATGAAGGTTGGCGAGAAGGCCACCCTTGACATCACCAGGTAAGAAGACCTCCCTTTGCCGACCGAGCTCTGGTATCGGGTAGCGCAGTTTGCACTAGCACCCGACATGTTCTGCTCTTACTAACGATCTGCCCCCCAGTGACTACGCCTATGGCGAGCGGTAAGCAGCTCTCAACCATAGCTACAGCAACCTGGACTCTGAGGCTGTTGCTGTTGCTTTGCTCACGATCAATGCTGACCATTTCCATCTAGCGGCTTCACCGGTCACATCCCCCCCAATGCTGACCTCATCTTGTTAGTGCCCCAATCAGCCAACCTGTGCCATTTTCTTTTGTTCTCGTACAATTTGCGGGTAACCGCTAACAATCTCAACAGCGATGTCCACCTCAAGAGCGTCAAATAAATGTCAAGGTCGGATAATGAGCTAGAGATTAGAGGCTGGGTGTGAGGAAGGCATGGGAAGGTTGTCTTGGGGTTGCCAGATAAGCAGCCAAGCCAGACAGCTTGATCACATGATTTTTCAGATGAACTGGATATATCAAACTCAATGAAACCACCTCTTCTGCCGCAGATTCTCTGCCCGCTCTGTGTTTAACAGCAGTCACAGGGTCCAACATGGCTATCCGCAACTCATGGACAGATCCAGATGCTCCTATAGCCCACCCTGCATGACATACGGTACTGGTGAATCGCAACGTCTCAAGACCAATATCATGCTGTTAAGAGGTTGGGGCAAATATCGCCATCGTCCTGTCAGTAATTGACTCCTTGCTTCGGCGATGTGTCTTAATGTACGACACTACCTGCTGCATACCCTCAGCCAGCGTTTGACATTATTGCCCACACGATATCTCTTTCACGTACTAGGCCTACTTGAACCACATGTAGAAAATCATGGGCTGAAGTGTGTTTGGCTCTTTTCTGATCAGTTAGCGTGCCAGGTGAATTACTTCGGGTTCTTTGTAAAGGTTCAATCTGTGAAGAAAAGCTAAGCTCTAAACTTCTCCTGATCACAAACAATAAAACAAATCTTCCTACCTACTGCCAACGTCCCATTCCACATGTACTAGCTCTGAACATCAGAAAGCTGCCCATAAAGCCACATCACCACGCTGGCTGTAGGCTGGGTCTCTCGCGATGCCCAGCTCAACACCGGACAGGACTGCCGGTGATGGAAGTCGGTAGATACCCGGAGAAATAAGCTATGACGCAGCGTCTTCGTACAGTGCAGAAAAACGGTGGAGGCATGAGTATACTCCAATACGGGCGAAAATTTGTGGGAAAAAGAAGTTCACAGTACCGAAATGCACTTAATGGTTATAGGGCATCGGATGACCAATGTAGTGAGGGGCAAGTGTTTACTGTTAGCAATAGCACAGTGGAGCTTTCAGTGGAGCTTTCTAATAGTGGAGTGCCTGCATTACGTGAGTTGGTGAGGTAGCCTGCCACTGCTCACAAGCCTGGCCGTCCACTTAGCACTCCTTGCCGCCCCTCGTCAACACCTCCACACCTGGGATCCACGACCACCTCTACATCACCGCAACGAGGCTGCTCTTTCTGCCATCTGCGTCCACATCCAACGTGACACGAGTTTGCCTGGTGCATTTCCCTACTTCCTGAAACGCAGAGAATACCTTACTTGACGACAAACCCACAAACGACTGCCGGTTCTACGTTCCGAATCGCCCACAAACATACTCCTCACGGCACACTTCACTGTTTGGTGGGGTTGAGCTCGATCGTCCCACCGCCTGTGTCCCCTTCAACGTCACAACAATCAACCTTCCCGAATAGCATCGTCAAGCTGGGGAAGCGCAAACTCTCCAACGGGGAGACACCTGATCCCAACAAAAAAACCATGGCGGTATGTCTTCCGTCCACTCTCGCACCCCTCGAGCCGCCGACTACGGAAGCGTACCCTGCAGGTGCCGGCAACGCATCACCACCAGCTACTGGCATCACGTTGCTAACATAGCCCTTCTCTGCATAGGACAAGAAGCTTCCGGAGGTCGATTTGGTGACCCGAATGCAGGTCGATGACTCCGTCGTGGGTCTTACCGAGATTGATGAGTCCCTCTACAGTCGCCAGCTCTATGTCCTGGGTCACGAGGCCATGAAGCGCATGGGCGCTTCCAACATCCTCGTCGTTGGCCTCAAGGGTTTGGGTGTTGAGATTGCAAAAAATATTGCTCTCGCCGGTGTCAAGAGTCTGACTCTCTACGACCCTGGCCTGGTCGCTCTCGCCGACTTGTCTTCGCAGTTTTTCCTCCACCCCGAGGATGTCGGCAAGCCGAGAGACGAAGTCACGGCACCGCGGGTCGCTGAGCTGAACGCATACACACCGGTCAAGGTTCACCAGTCATCAAAGTAGGTTGCCCGTTCTGGTATTGGAAATTTAACTGACGAGCGCAGCTTGGGCGAGAACCTTTCGCAATTCGATAAGTACCAAGTCGTAGTCCTGACCAGCCTGCCACTGAGGCTTCAGATGCTCATCGGTGACTACTGCCACTCCAAGGGCATCTACGTTGTGGCTGCGGACACTTTCGGGTTGTTCGGCTCGATATTCTGCGACTTTGGCGACGATTTCACCGTTATCGACCCAACCGGCGAGACTCCCCTGAGCGGCATTGTTGCGGGCATCGACGAGGAGGGTGTCGTGTCGGCACTCGACGAGACCCGTCATGGCCTGGAGGACGGCGATTATGTTACCTTTTCCGAAGTTGAGGGTATGGAGGGTTTGAACGGAGGCGAGCCCCGCAAGATTACCGTCAAGGGCCCATATACTTTCTCGATCGGCGATGTTTCCGGCCTCGGCCAGTACAAGCGCGGAGGCCTGTACCAGCAGGTCAAGATGCCCAAGAAGATCAATTTCAAGAGCATCACCGCCGCCATCAAGGAACCTGAGTTCCTCGTGTCAGACTTTGCCAAGTTCGACCGCCCGCAGCAGTTGCACCTCGGTTTCCAGGCCCTGCACGCATTCGTCGAGAGCCAGGGCCGCTTCCCCAACCCCTTGGACGACGCCGATGCGACCGTTATTCTTCGTTCGGCTGAGACTTTTGCCAAGGCTGAGGGTGTGGAGGTCGAGTTCGATGAGAAGTTGATTAAGGAGCTAAGCTACCAGGCGCTGGGTGACTTGAACCCCATGGCCGCTCTATTTGGTGGCATTGTAGCCCAGGAGGTTCTTAAGGCCGTGTCTGGCAAGTTTCAGCCTATCCAACAGTGGATGTACTTCGACTCGCTCGAGTCCCTCCCGACCAGCACGCCTCGCACCGCCGAGCTCTGCAAGCCCTTGGGTAGCAGATACGACGGTCAGATTGTTGTCTTTGGCCGCGAATACCAGGAAAAGATTGCCAACCTTCGGCAGTTTCTCGTTGGTGCTGGAGCCATTGGCTGTGAGATGCTTAAGAACTGGGCCATGATAGGTCTCGGTACCGGTCCTAAGGGCAAGATCACCGTCACCGACATGGACTCGATTGAAAAGAGCAACCTGAACCGTCAGTTCCTGTTTCGACCCAAGGATGTCGGCAAGATGAAGAGCGACTGTGCGGCCGAGGCAGTTCAGGCGATGAACCCCGACCTTAACGGCCACATTGTATGCCTCAAGGACCGTGTCAGCCCCGAGACGGAGGAGACGTTCAACGAGGACTTCTGGAACGACCTGGACGGCGTCACCAACGCGCTGGACAACGTTGAGGCTCGTACGTACGTTGACCGGCGCTGCGTCTTCTTCCGTAAGCCTCTCCTCGAAAGTGGCACCCTCGGAACCAAGGGCAACACGCAGGTTGTCCTCCCACACCTCACTGAGTCGTACTCGTCGTCGCAGGACCCCCCTGAGAAGGAATTCCCGATGTGCACGGTGAAGAGCTTCCCGAACAAAATCGAGCACACTATCGCGTGGTCCAAGGACCACATGTTTGAGAACCTATTCATTACGTCTCCCTCGACGGTCAACCTATACCTGACACAGCCCGGCTATATCGAAAGTACGTTGAAACAGGGCGGCAGTGCCAAGCTGACGCTGGAGACTCTCCGCGACTACCTCACCACCGACCGCCCACGGACATTTGAGGACTGTATCGCGTGGGCGCGGATTTTGTTTGAGAAGGAATTCAACAACAAGATCCAGCAGCTGCTGTACAACTTTCCTAAGGACTCGGTAACGTCCAGCGGCACGCCCTTCTGGTCCGGCCCCAAGCGTGCCCCCGAACCGCTCAAGTTCAACCCCAACGACCCCACTCACTTTGCTTTCATCGTGTCTGCCGCCAACCTGCATGCCTTCAACTACAACATCAAGTCTCCTGGCACTTCCAAGGATATTTACCTGCGCGAGCTCGAGAACGTCATTGTGCCGGACTTCTCGCCTGCGGAGGGCGTCAAGATCCAGGCCAATGAGAACGAACCTGTAAGCACAACCACCCCAACGGCTTTTGATACTGCTGACAAAAGTAGGACCCCAACGCCGAAGATGGCCAGGCTAGCTCCTTCGACGACAACGACGAATTGCAGAAAATGATTGCGAGCTTGCCTTCACCTAACGAACTTGCAGGCTTCCAGCTGCAGCCCGTTGACTTTGAGAAGGACGATGACTCGAACCACCACATCGACTTCATCACGGCCTGCAGCAACTTGCGCGCCGCTAACTACAAGATTGAGCCGGCCGACCGCCACAAGACCAAGTTTATCGCCGGCAAGATCATCCCTGCCATTGCAACGACAACGGCGCTCGTCACAGGTCTGGTGATTCTAGAATTGTACAAGGTCATTGACTGCAAGCAGGATTTGGAGCAGTACAAGAACGGCTTCATCAACCTGGCGCTACCTTTCTTTGGCTTCAGTGAGCCGATCGCCAGCCCCAAGGTCGAATTCAAGGGTCCCAACGGCATCGTCAAGCTGGATAAGATCTGGGACCGCTTCGAGGTGGCTGACATCACGCTCAAGGAGCTCCTGGAGCACTTTGAGAAGCAAGGTCTCACCATCTCGATGCTCAGTTCCGGTGTGAGCTTGCTCTATGCCAGCTTTTTCCCGCCGGCCAAGCTCAAGGACCGCCAAAACCTCAAGCTGAGCCAGCTGGTCGAGACAGTTTCAAAGAAGCCGGTACCGGCCCATCAGAAGGAGGTCATCTTTGAGATGGTTGCCGAGGATGTTGACGGCGAGGATGTTGAGGTTCCGTACATCAAAATGAAGATGGCGTAGGATGAATGATGTATGAAATTATTTAGTATCTGCTGTCTAGTCAGGGAGGGCTAGAGAGACAAGAAGTTTAGAATGACCAGAAACGGTGGTCAGGCCAATAGGAAGTGGGAACGCGAAATAGAAAGTCTTGGTAGTTACATACCGTCGTGGGATTTGATGGCCAACTCTTCTGTATAGGTACTTACCTATCCCCACTTGCGTATCTAAGTAGGCAGTAAGCAGGTAAGTAGGATGGGACCAGCATATGGAGTACGTACCGCCGTTACTAGGCCCCATACCACTAGCGCGGTCATTTGTAAGCGCCATGCTGCGGTGATTTAGCGTGGAAGTGCGCCTGGGACGCCTGGTTTACGTCACCATTAGCAATGCTTGGAGCTGTGTGCAATAGCGAGTTGTAAGCTGCAATTGGTTCGAAGCGATTTTTCACCAGTGGGCTTGGGTAATGCTGTGCTCAGCAAGATTTGACGTTTGTCGAATGAATCGCTCACTGGCTGGGTGAACTGTATGGCCTTGCACGCGGAAACCGGAACCATCCCGTCCACGTCGTTGGTTACGTTACCGTAGGGGTTCAAGGTCTGCTATGAATCGATATATAAGTTCCTTTGTCCACCCCGCTTCCTGTCTGCCACCCCTCGTATCACACAGTTCTCATGACCACTAGAGCCCTGATCCGCCTCACGGGTTTCTGTAGAACATCCCAAAGCATCCAGGCCAACCGCGTACTCTCGTCTTTCACTGCTAGCAGCCAAGTGTCGCGATACACACCCATTCCCCTGCCAAACGGTCTCATACAGAAACAACAAATCAGAATGGTGGGTGGTGCCGTACGGCCGAGCTGGCCATTGTGGTGGACACCCAGGGTTGACATGTGAGCCAGGCCAGCAAAGTCACCGACTGGGTTAAGCCCGGCGACACGTCAGGCGAGTTCAAGCGCCAGCAGAGCTCGTTCCGTAACTGGATCTCCCGCGAGCAGGGAGCAAAGTTTACACCCGAGAAGGGCCGCTACCACCTCTACGTCAGCTACGCCTGTCCGTGGGTGAGTTGTCCCCGCTGCGAGGGTCGACGAGGTTGGAGCTGACTGAACCACAGGCCTGCCGGACGTTAATCACCCGCAAGCTCAAGGGCCTCGAAGACATCATCAGTTACTCGGTCGTCCACTGGCACCTCGGCGAGAATGGTACGTATGTTTGATGGCCTAGGAGCAGCTGCTATCGGGTGTTCCCGTCTGGATCGCGTAACGCGGCAGCACTGACAATCACTAGGATGGCGCTTCGTCACCGAGGATGACAAGAACATCCCCGGCGACAACGTGGTTCCTGACCCGGTCCCGGGCCACGAGGGTTATACGCACCTACGTGACCTGTACTTTGAGTCAGAGCCCAAATACGACGGCCGCTTCACCGTGCCGGTGCTCTACGATACCAAACTCCAGACGATTGTCAGCAACGAGAGCAGTGAGATCATCCGGATGCTCTACACCGAGGTGAGCCCGACCCCGATGCGTCGACATGCTTGCTGGCCTCAAAACCGCTCCTGCTGACGAGATTAGTTCGACGATCTCGTCGATGAGAAGTACCGCCAGGTCAATCTCTACCCCGAGGCCCTGCGAAGCCAGATCGACGAGGCAAACGAGTGGACGTATGACAAGATCAACAACGGTGTTTACAAGTCAGGCTTCGCCACGACACAGGAGGCTTACGAGCGCAACGTCGTCGCTCTCTTCGAAGCCCTGGACAAGACAGAGGCGCACCTCAAGTCCGTCCACGACAAGGGACCATACTACTTTGGCAGAGACATCACCGAGGCTGACATCAGGCTGTAAGTATTATGAACCCGCTAACCTCATGATCAAGAATGCTGACCGACTTGCCCTAGCTTCGTTACAATCATCCGTTTCGATGTGAGTGTCTCCCCTTCAAATCGCAGCCGGAGGAGGAAGCTAACAATCACCCCCCTTTCTCAAGCCCGTCTACGTGCAACACTTTAAATGCAACATCCGCGACATCCGCTCCGGGTACCCTTACATCCACAAATGGATGCGCAACCTGTACTGGAACGTGCCAGCTTTCAAAGATACGACGCAGTTTGAGCATATCAAGTGGCACTACACCAAGAGCCACACGCAGATCAACCCATTTTCTGTCACTCCCGTCGGGCCGCTGCCGGACATCTTACCGCTCGACCAGGAGGTCGCAGCCGTCAGCATCAAGCTGTGAAGCGTACCAAAACATCATGGTTCATGTGCTGGTTGTACTGATAAAGACAAACTCTCGGTCTATTCGTCTCCACTCGCCCCGAACTTGTGACGACGAATAATCCCAACTATACAGGTTCCTTATCGGGCGCGAAAAAAATACACAATAAACCGCGAGAACTGACTGGTCTGCTCTCATCGGGAGACTTTCATCCAATATTATGATAGATACCACTGTATATTGACAAAGAAATATGTTTCCCGGACTCATTTGGAAATCCACAAACCCAGCATCGCAAATGAACCCTTTTTGATGTCCCCATAATCCAGAATGAACAATGCATTAAATTAGTTATAAGATCACCAACCGCTGGAGCTTACAATTGGCCAGACAGCAGCGCCTCCGTCGCTAAACGGGTAAGGTTAGTCAAAAAAACACAGTTCTGTAAAGACACAAAGACATACCACTGTTGATATATTGCCGCTTGGCGTCGAGAGGAACACCAAAACGACGTTCGAGCTCCTGCTTGATGCCCTTCTTCGTCACCGTCATCAGGTCGGCAGTCCGCAGAATCTCGCGGATCTCGGCCAGTAGCGCGTCGTCACTGGGCAGGCCCACCATGTCTTCGGGGGAGAAGAACTGCGAACCGCCAAATTGGCTGTTGCGGTTGCCACCCATTTCCGAGGCCGCGAGGGACATGCGTGACATGTTGCGTTGGTCGTAGCCCATGCCGGGGGCTCTAGGAGGCGCGTAGCCGCCTGCGATGGAACCCGGACGGCTGTGATAGCCGTACTCGGAGACGGGGACCTGGCCCTTGGTGGCGTAGCTATAACCAGAAGCCTCGGAGCGAGCGTCCTCCTTGTTCGTCTGGGCGTCCCAGAGCTCGGCCTGATATTCCTCCCACTTCTTCTTGGGAATGACGGAGGGGTCGAATTTGCCCTCGTCGGAGATGACAATCTTCTTACCCGCCTCGCCGGCAATAACACGGGTGTTACCCCAGTTGAAGTCGTCCATGTGCCAGAACGAGTACAACGGGAGAGCAAAACTGAAGACGGGGATGGCCACGATATACAGAATCATCCAGCCAATCATCTCCCACTTGCGGCGGAGGATAAAGATGATGGCTTGCAGACCGTAGATGGCGCCGAGCATAATGAAGGCCGTGACGGGCACAACAGTAGGGTTCTGCACGACCATAACGATAAGGTAGACGATGTAGGCCACAACGACAGGTTGTACGACTGTGGACAGCAAGTCGACAAAGACGATGAAACGCATAGAGAAGCAACAAAAGCCACAAAGCTGGGACATGGGAATGAGCTCCATGAGGTTGTGTACGGTCGAGTTGATCCAGCGACGTCTCTGCGAGAGGAAGACGGCCCAAGAGTCAGGTGCAATGGTCCAGGCGTGCGCTCTGTTGGTGTACTTGGTCTTATACTTGTTGTGGAACTTGAGGAGAAGTGTCGTCAGGTATCGATCCTCACCCAGGTGAAGCAAGTTCTTCATGTGCAGAGTATCTACACGGATCGTCGCGTAGGCCTCGACGACCTCGCGACTGACGAAAAGGGGCTTTCCACTCTCGGCGGCGCGAATGCGGTACATTGAGAAACAACCGGGCAAGCAGGTTACGCTGCCGAATAGACTCTCGAAAGCCTTGGTTAAGTTGTGGGAGATCCAGTATTCGTACACCTGAATCATCGTGATGAACGATGCCTTGGCGTTGGTCAGTGCGGTCTCACCGCACACGGCAATGAGGCGAGTATCATTTAGGAACGCGGACACCATGCGAGTGGCGGAGTCAGGAGCGACAACGGTATCGGCATCGATCTGGAACATAAATTCGTAAAAGGTGGGATTGACACCGATGATGTTGCGGATTTGATGGTAGATCTCGAGCTCAAGAGGGCTCATGGGCAGATTGTAGTGTACGCGGTTGAGGAAGCGCATGATGATCATTTGAGAGTCACGCTTTCCACGGTTGCCAGGACGGGACACCTCGGACGGTTTGCCGATCTTGACAACAACAAGGAATGGCACGATGTGGCCCTGAACCTCGTAGAGGCCGGAGTACACCTTGCCCATATTGTGCTGTTTCTGACCTTCACCGAGTGATTCGAAGCTGAGAGGCTCGGGATCAACAGTGTCAGAGACACCGAGAATGTCGAGCACAATGCGAGGTGTTGGTTTATCGTTGCCTTGTCCAATAATCATGCCGTCGCAGATAACGACAAGTAGCTTGCGTTTATCGTCGTAGTGCATCCTGGCGGCAGAGTCGATAGCACGGCGGAGAGACTCTTCATCTTCCGTGTATGCGGGAATTTGACACATGACGAACTTGTCAAGGTTCTCGGGCATGTTCTTACCCCCAAACTGCAGCGCGGCCAAGAACTTGAAGCCGAGAATGGCACACAAGATGATGGAAACGACAAGGACAAGGTACTCGGCAAATTTACAGCGGGCCGAGTTACGCGTGTCAACGTCGCCGACATAAAAGAGGTTGTCGAGACATGTCTTCATGCGCTGCTTCAGGGCAGCATCCATAGAGAGGTTATCCCATAGCTCCGTGATATCGGTGCCCGCCTTGCCCTGGAATAGAGCTTCGACCGAGCTATCCATGAACCTGGACAAGGACTGATCGTCGGGAACTGACTCGCCGGCCTTGGCCTGCATCTTGTTACCACCGGCCAAGTACTGTGTCATGTCGTAAACGCGGCCACCCAAAATAAGAATATTCTGCTGCTTGTTGGCGAGCGTCTTGACATACTGCGGCGAGTAGCCGACGGTGCCCTTCATGTACAAGTTCTTTAACATCGTCATTTGCTCGTAGTACCAGTCGGGTCGGCTATCATTGGTAAAGTAGCGGAAGTCATGATACTTGAAGTTCAGGTCGATTGGTGTCAGTTGTGCAGAGCCCGTGAGGTTGGTGTTGCGGTAGTCCAGTGTGACGTGAGGGTCAACTGAGCCATCCTTGCCCTGGCAGAGAGCGCTGACCTGAATTGGGAACAGTGAACTAATATCCTTGCCGGCGTAGTTCTTCAGCTGCTTGACTGTGACGTAAGGAGGGTAGTGACGAGGAGCGAACGAGCCCAGGTCGATGACAACACCGCGGATCGCAACGTAGGCAGGGTCAGAGCCCTTGCCGTCATTCGACGACAACTCCGCGGCACTGTAGACGTGTTGTGTGGGACAAATGAGCTTCGGG